ATGCTAACCACTGAGACACCTTGCAGCCCCAAGCCAAATATGAATTAGAATCTTAATCTAAATGTCTACCTGTTACATCAGAGGATCCATCTTCATTTTACATGTTGCCGTGTCTTTCCAGATGACCATTGAGATGTATCCCAGCGATCAGGTGGCTGACCTGCGAGCAGAGGTGACCCACTGGTACGAGAACCTGCAGAAGGAGCAGATGAACCAGCAGGCTCAGCTGCAGGAGTTCGGTCAGAGCGGCCGGCAGCCGGGAGACTTCCCAGGTCGGCCCCTTTGTACGCAAACACACACCTCTAAGCCAATCAAACAGTTAGTAGGTCCACCTCAACCTCAAATCTTTGAGCTTGTTCAACAAATCTGTCATTTGACCTGCAGGTGGTTTGATGGGACCGGTCAGGATGATCTCCTCTGGCCATGAACTGACCACAGACTACGATGAGAAGACTCTGCATGAGCTGGGCTTTAAAGACATGCAGGTCACTCTCTGGTTCATCACCCTGTGTTTTGTTTTTTTTAGCAAATAATACAGCACAGTTTTACAGAAGTCTGAATACAAGTTGTCTTCGTTATCTTTTAGTTGTTGTTTCTTGTCTGGTACGTTGCAACAGACTATGCAGAAACTGATTAAAGGTGTCCAATGTAGATGATTCAACACTGAGCCATGATTGCTTGTTTGATCCCAGATGGTGTTTGTCTCTTTGGGAGCTCCACGACGGGAGAGGAAGGGGGAGGGCGTCCAGCTGCCTGCCTCCTGCCTGCCTCCTCCCCAGAAGGAGCACATTCCCATGCTGCTGCTCCTCCAGGAGCCACACCTCACCACACTGTTTGACCTGCTGGAGATGCTGGCCTGTTTCAAACCGCCCAGCCCCAACACTGAGAAGGTTCACGAGAGCCCAGAGGTAGGGAGCAGCCATGGACAGAACGTAGCAGGGATGGGCTGTGTACTGGTGACTGATTTATTATTGACCAGTATGAAACAAAAATGAATTAAATGATTGTTCTAATGATGGATTTTTAGCTCATAGTTACATCTGATAATGCTGGAAATGTGCTGCAGGATAGAGATGGCTCTTTAAAGCCAGTTTTGAAACAATGGTGACAATGAATCATACCTCAGGTCATCGTATATGTGAGTCAGTGACATGTACAGTAAGGAAGACAGGAGTATGTTGTCAGCCACCTGCTGAACAAGCAGAAAAAATGAATGAAACACCTTTGACCCCTCTGTGCATGAAGAAAGCTGCTGTCTAATGTACACTAAGTTTTCTTTACGTTTTTCACGTTCTCACGGTGCTTACTTATCCTCGTTTTTCGGTGTGAACAAAAATTGAATATCGACATCAGTAATATCGGTTATCAGCGATATCAGAAAACATAATATCGGATGTCGATATCGGCCAGAAGTTTTAATACCATGCATCCCAACATTTCACACCTCCATCTTCTGCTTTTGTAGGGTAACTTGTTATAGCCTATTTTTGGACCTTTACCAATAGCTTTCGTGTGTTTCTTATCCAGAGTGCACGGTGTGAAGAGCTTCACCTTCATGCAGAGAATCTGTCCCGCCGGGTTTGGGAGCTGCTGATGCTTCTTCCTACATGTCCGAAGATGCTGCAGGCCTTCCAGAACATCTCAGACGACACGGTCAGTCGCCTCGCTCAGCTGATCGCTCTCATTGCTCACAAATACTTGGCATCACTGACTGCGGCAGACGCTGAATAACTCAAGGTGTTATTTTTGTGTCTGTGTGTAGAACGGAGAGGGTCTGTGTTGGAAGGAGCTGCTGAGGATTAAAAGTCCCCACAAGCTGCTGTACGCTCTGGAGATCATCGAAGCTCTTGGAAAACCCAATCGACGCATCCACAGAGAGTCGACCGTGAGAGACACATGATTTCTTTTCTTTAAAAATCCCTTATCTCTTTTTGTTTTTTGTTGTTGTCCCTGTTTTACTTTGTCAAGACGAAATAAGAAAAAACAAGATCATGATAACAGCCTAGGATAACTTCAATGCAAGTTCTTTTTCTTGACTTTTTAATCTCTTCTTACGACCTACTCACGAAATAGTCAAGAATAAACTTTCATGATCAGAAGAAAATTTGTTTCACATCCTCAAATCATGATTGAATTAAGCGCCTTTAACTTAAAATTTTATGACACAAAAACAGACAACATCTTCATCCATGTGTATTTTGACCACCTTTTCAGGTATAATACAGAGAAGCTTAAAAAATAAAAAATAAATATTCCATTTCTACCTGGACCTTGTTTGTCGTGTGGGTTAAACCCTGTGTGTGTGTTTCCAGGGCAGCTACAGCGATCTGTACCCAGACTCCGATGACTCCAGTGAGGATCAAATAGAAAACAGCAAGAACACCTGGAGCTGCAAGGTACAGCAGACACAGCTGGAATGGAAACCCACCCAGTGAATAACTGCATGGATTGATTTTATACTTCTCTCAATTTATCTTTCAGTTCGTGTCATCTGGAGGTCTGCAGCTGCTCTTAGAGATCTTCAACTCAGGCATTCTTGAACCCAAAGACCAGGAGTCCTGGACTGTGGTGAGACAGCCAAAAGCATAATTTAACTTTAGATTTGACATGTTTTCATTTCACAGTACACATCAAGTTGTGTTTCTTGTGAACATAACTACAGACAGAATAATGATGTTTTTGCTCTTCCTAATGTTCTTGTCCACAGTGGCTGCTGGACTGCCTGGCCTGCCTGCTGAAGCTGATCTGCCAGTTCGCTGTGGACCCTGCAGACCTGGACCTGGCCTACCACGACGTCTTCTCCTGGTCTGGCCTCGCTGACAGCCAGCGTAAACGGGCATGGCCGGGCAAATCCCGTAAATCCACCGTAGACCACGGGAAAGGCCTGCACATTCCTCGACTGACCGAGGTACATTTTTCAAAAGTTGGAAAAACACACGGCTGACTGTAGGAGTGCTGCGCATCAGGAAATGTTTAGATGTCAGCTCTGGTTTTTGGGAGTTGATCAGCAGCTGATGTGTCTGTTATTTACAGGTGTTCCTCAGTCTTGTTCAAGGCACCAACCTGATCCAGCGTCTGATCAACGTGGCCTACACCTACGACAACCTTGCACACAGGTGAGCAATGCAGGAGTTCAAGAAATGTATTTCAAATGACCAAATATAGCAGAGGTAATTTATGTGTTTTGCTTTTCTCCTACAGAGTTCTTAAGGCCCAGTCTGACCACAGGTCTCGGCATGAAGGTGAGAGTTACCACACATTTAGGGGCTTTTGTGTTCCATGTTTTCAGACAATGCTAAAATTCTGAGATGAGGAAGAAAGACAAAGCTAGTAGATGAACTCTCTGAATACCATCTGTCACCACAAAGCTAATCACGGGCCAGCAGCCAGGATGAAAAGGAGGCCTGGTGCATAAGAAGAAAGCAGTCAGTCATTATTTATGTGTGGAAGATGACAGTGAGGTTTGTTTCCCTACAGTGACTCACTACTCCATGTGGCTGCTGGTGAGCTGGGCTCACTGCTCGTCCACGGTGAAGTCCAGTCTGGCTGACAGCGACCACCTCCACGACTGGCTGAAGAAACTCACGCTGCTGGTGCCTGAGGTGAGTCAGTTCATCCACAGCTCCTTCTCAAGTCTACAGTGATTCATTCAGGCTAAGCTCATTAGGAAGAGGGGCGTTTAGAGGCTGGTGATGCATTTTGTACGAGCTATTCTGGATGAGTGATGCTAAAGGGGGGGTTTAAATAGATTATAACGTGCATTACTTTGCTGTAATGGGCATTACCAAGGACGGGATTATTTATCCACACATGAGAACCTAAAACAGATTTTTTTATTTGGAAACAAAATTGGTTTATGTTCATAATTACTAAATTACATAACCTCGCTCTGGTGAGAGAGCTTTGTCTGCACTGCGGTGTGAGAAAGTTTTGTTGCCGTTAATCATGAGAAAGGAAATTTTAAGTTCCTTGAAAAAACCTGGAATTATATGTGCAACACTTTTCTTAGTTGACTCTGTACACTCAAGATCTTCTAATTAAATTTTCACTTTAGTCCCTGAACTTTGGCTACAAGGCGGTCGAAGTTCAAGTTCATTAGTTTATAATATAATAAAATAAGATCGCTGTTCCATCATGAAGTCACGTATCAGACGATAAGCACATCTGAGGATTCCTTTAATTAATCTGCTGCCTAATGTATAGACTTGTGGCGTATCTTTACTTTCAGCTGCAACCCTGGCGGTGTAAAAAGGACGTGGCAACAAATTAAGAACAAACATAAAAACATAATTCAAAGCGGCGTGGCTCATTAACGTATCCTACAAATACAAGCTTTAATGCTAAAGTCAGTTTACTGCTGTGGGCTGATGTTAAAATATGAAAAAGCTTTGACATTGCCTGTAGCCAACAGGAAAAAAAATGAATGAATGAAGACAGGAGCTCATAGAGATCCTGGTCAGGGGGCACTAAGGGGTTCTGCCGGTCCTGAAAGACTCTCCCACTCCTCAGTGTTCCCTCACAGTTCATGCTCTGATGTGTAGCGGGTCTTCTATTAATGCCGGTGATGCCATTTTGTCGAGAACTGCTTCGTTTTCTGCTCATTCTGAAGTTTAACGGGAGAGAACTGGTTTCCAGTGGAGGTGTTTTTATACCCAGTGATCTAAACCTCCAACATAACCTGCTGGTTCGCCGTTCAGCTAAATTACCGTGGTGATGTACCCCGGTAAGAAGCGAACCACCGTCGCAGGACTGAAAACCCAGGATTTAACCTGAAGTTACCTCACTAACCCTAAATCCTGCTTCATAGTACAGGCAGTAAATGTTTCATGTGTGAATCAGAACAAGGCCACTGAATGAGAGTTTAGGTCGACCCAACATTTTCACCAGTTTGTTGACGTGTGTGTTGTTGTGGTTGTTTCCAGCCGGCGGTGAGGCACGAGGCGTGTAACGGCCTCTACAAGCTCTCGCTCTCTGGCTTGGAGGGAGGAGAGTCCATCAACAGATCCTTCCTGCTGCTCGCTGCCTCCACGCTGCTCAAATTCCTGCCTGATGCACAGGCCCTCAAACCACTGAGGGTGAGTCTCAAACACACAACATCTCTGAAAGTTATGCAGACGTTCCTAGAAAACAGATGCACGTTACACATGCAGAAGAAAGACCAGTCTGCAAGCTACACTCTGTGTCAGCAGTCGTCAGCGACCTTGATCTGACTCAATTTGAGCTTTGCTACATCGAATCCAGTTTGTTTCCAAAACACTTTGTCTCTGTGGTGAGATTAATGCTGGAGACGCTGGGACACACTCAACATTCATCTGTTTGTGTTGGATCCCATCATGGCTGACACACGGTGCTGCACATTATTAACATTTACTTGTAAAAGTTAGAAACCCTGAATAGCCACAAACCAAATGTCCCAACAAACTCTGACGTCAGTTTCTAAGGATGCCACTGAGCATCGAATGTGTTCTGTTAAGGACGAGGTTGATCACAACGTGTGTTTACAGGTGGAGGACTATGAAGAGGAGCCTCTGTTGAGAACGGGCTGTAAGGAGTACTTCTGGCTTCTCTGCAAACTCATCGATAACATCCACGTTAAAGACGCCAGCCAGGTGGGAATGTCCGACTACAGCACTGATGATCATACCTGTAGCCAAGATGATGCCTTTATTGAGTAGCTAGTTGTGTGTTTCTGATTTTGTAATGAACTGGTGCTAGTATTGGTCTGTTTGAACTCACAGAAGGTCTCTCCCTCTCTGTCGCTGGCCGGCTCGGTGCAGACCACCCTGCTTGACCTGGACGCTCTCGCTCGACACCTCGCCGACTGCATCAGGAGGTCAGACATTCACAAACTGAACGTGTTTTTAGGGATTTTTAAAAAAATATTGTTGACAGTTCATACTGCTAATATTCCTCAGGATTGTAGCTTTTATAATCAAACTGCCTGACAAGTTTCTACGCCTTTACAGAAATGTCTCTTCACTTGATACCCCCCGTGATCAACGTCCCATAGAACCACAAAACCATGCATTAGTAACCCAGTGTCAAAAATGAGATTATAAAACAACAGAAAGGTTATTTATGTACTGTTGAGCTCAAATTTCTTCCCACTAAATTTTGATTTCTATTGAAAGGATCAAGGATACTTTGGTGTAAAGGATTCATCCATTTAGTGTTTATAGCTGCTTTAGTCTTAATTTGTACCTGTGCTGATTAAAAGCAGACACTCAATTAGCTGCGTTGTTTGTCGAATTCAATGATATGTGCCAACAGGCTGTCGTCAGGTGAACTGTAGAGCGTATCGTGTCTGTGGAGATTCCAGGTCGTGGTTATTCTCGTACATTAATCGTAGCAACTGGACTTGCTTGAGTTCCTTGAAGACGTTCCACCTCTCATCCAAGAGGCTTCATCAGTTCTGACTGACTAGTTGGGAGTTCCACATACTGATATCCTTAAGGAGCCATTAACACCTGAGTTTCAGTTGGGGGTTTGTTGCTCCTCCCCCTCGTCATGTAAGTTGTTAGTGCTCCCCCTGCCACAGTGGGGTTCGTTAGGGTCTTCTGTGGCTAGATGTAAATGTGGGTTCATCTTCTTGTGGGAGATTTTAGGACTGAACAGGTGAGAGGTGAAGCCTCAGACCTCCACCTCTGTTGAGGGATGGTCCTTCCAGTTTGACACAGATGGCTTCTTTCACCCCTCTCTTAAACCATCTGTCCTTCCTGGCCAAAATCTGTACATTATTGTCTTCAAGAGCATGTCGCTCACAGTGTGGGAGTTCACCCAGCCCTCAGTGATCTCAGTGTTCTTCTATCCACCAGCCGTGAGATCCTGGACCAGCAGGACGGGACTATTGAGGACGACGGCCTGACCGGCCTCCTGCGTCTCGCCACCAGCGTTCTCAAACACAAGCCTCCGTTCAAGTTCTCTCGTGAGGGGCAGGAGTTCCTGCGGGACGTCCACAACCTCCTCTTCCTCCTCCCCAGCCTGGCAGACCGCGCTCAGCCGAAGTGCAAGTCCCACGCTGCCAGGGCCGCCGCCTACGACCTGCTGGTGGAGACCGTCAAAGGCTCAGTGGAAAACTACCGGCTGCTCCACAACTGGGTCATGTCGCAGCACATGCAGGGTGAGGAAGCTGGCTGCCTCGTTTAGTTTGCTTTTTACTCGATATACGACACATTTTTAAAAAGACAGGGTTTTAATTGTAGTGCTTTTGATTTCAAATCATGGAAAACTTCTGAATTAGTGAAATTTTAACCAGTAACTGATCACGACTTTCATAAATTTTTTACAAGTTTCACATTGACTTTCACATTAGATTCAAATGGATTGAGTGCAGAAGGCATTTTATTCACTGAGCCAGAGAGCGTAATGAGCACAGTGTCCAGCTCTCCCGAAGCAACCAACTGCTGTTAAATGTTTGATTGATTTTGGCCAACAAGTTGAAGATAAACATCAAGTAGCTGTAGCTGGCAGATGCAGAGCGACCACTATGCAACAGCAGATAAAGTTGTTGCTATGGAAACATCCACCTAACGCAGAGGTCTGATCATTTATTTGAAAACGTGCTTTTGTCTGCCTAGTTATTGTTGAATTTCCCTGCAAGCTACACTCTGTGTCAGTAGTCCTCTGGACAATGATCTGACTCAATTTGAGCATTGCTACAGCGACTCCAGTCTGTTTCTACAAGATATTGTCCCACAGGTGGGACTAATGCTGGAGAGACTGGGACAGCCCAAACATGAACTCAACAGTCTAGTAAATACGCTTTTAAGTTACAACAGTGAACTAAAAGTGTCTGAAAAAGCATCTGTGGGTTCATTACTGCCACAACAGTCATGGAGCTTATCAGAACAGCCATTTTCTTCAAGAACACATTCAACATTTAACTTCCTTCTGTTGTTTTTTTCTCCAGCCTCTCACGCCCCGTATAAGTGGGACTACTGGCCCCACGACGACGTCCGCGCCGAGTGCCGCTTCGTGGGTCTGACCAACCTGGGAGCGACCTGCTACTTGGCCTCCACCATCCAGCAGCTCTACATGATCCCTGAGGCTCGCCAGGCTGTGTTCACCGCCAAGGTCAGTCCCTGCAAGAAGACCGAATCAGGGAAAAGGTGCAGATTTGAATCGGCTGTAGTTTCTCACCTTGCGTGTGTCTGTCTGTGCAGTATGCAGAGGACATCAAACACAAGACCACACTGCTGGAACTGCAGAAGATGTTCACATATCTCATGGTGAGTTTGGCATTTGTAGCCGCGACTGCTTTTATTGTGGTGGTTGATAACACTGTCGGGTTAATGTTGGTTGAAAAACAGTGAAGTGAGCAGCTGTTTTCCTCAAAAATATCAACTTATTTGTCTGTTCTTCTTCAGTGGGAAGCTATGTGTTTGTTGCAGGGAGCCACAGACTGAGAGGGGAGGTTACAGAGTGTTGTGCAATGGACTGATTTTTTGTTTTGTTTTGTTTATGTGTCTGTCCATATGTACGCGTGTTCAGGAGAGTGAGAGGAAAGCGTACAACCCCCGGCCGTTCTGTAAAACCTACACGATGGACAAACAGCCTCTTAACACCGGAGAGCAGAAAGACATGACGGAGTTCTTCACGGACCTCATCACCAAGATCGAGGAGATGTCCCAGGAGCTGGTAAATGCACACACCTTCACGTATACAGTGCCTCACATTACAGAACAGAGAGCACATTTATGACAGAAACACTGCACAGTTTTCAGGATGAACGTTATTTGCATCTCTTCTGCCATTTACCATGAACTTCCAAAATTCAGAAAAACATACAAAGATATATATATTTTTATTTGGCATTATTCCAATTAATAAAACATAAATAAAACATATAAGGAATGACACACAAAGCAGAGTTGTACAAAATAATAATGCTGTTAGACTTACACATTGAAAAGCATGAATATTAGTTCATCATGGTGACCTGTTGGAATAGAAATGTGATTTATCTATTAACTAATGGGCCTTTTCTGTCGTACGTTTACAGAAAAACACAGTGAAGACTCTATTTGGAGGCGTCATCACCAACAACGTCGTCTCTCTGGTGAGGACACGCCTCAACTTTGACTCAAAATGAAAAATATTGAATGTAGAAATAAAGTTTTTTGGGGGTTTTTTCCCCACATAATTGGATTATTTTAATCTGAGATGGACCACAAAGAACCTGTGACACTCCAATTTTTATCTTTGAATTTTCACAAGTTGTCGACTTTCCAGTTTTTAACCTGCTGTAAATATTTTGTGTATTTTCCTTATTATACATTTTTTCAGTATTTTTCTTTTTTTCTCTTTGCCTATTTTTTATTACACGTATAAACAAGTCATTTTAATCAATGGTAAATATGGGAGGTGTGTCTGAGGAATGCTTATCTCCATTTAGCACTGAGCTGAAATAGTTGAATTGAAGGCGCTAAGTCTTATGTGGATGTATTTCTCACTGTGACAGTTTGACTGAAGCTTTGTTTTGTCTTCCCCGTAGGACTGCGACCACGTCAGTCAGACCGCAGAGGAGTTTTACACGGTTAGATGTCAAGTGGCAGATATGAAGAACATCTATGTGAGTATTTTGTAGCCTCTCTGCTGCAACAACAGGACCAGACAGATTAATTGTTATATCGGGAGCAGATCTTTGGAAGCACAACAGGCACACTGATAAGCTGCAGAATACCCACCCGCCACCACCGCACGGCACCCCCAAATATTCCAGATATTCGTCATTAATTGGGGCCGAATAGCCGGAGAACAGAAATTGCTATTCGGACCAGCCCTAGACCCAATTATATTTGGTCTTTGCCAGTTGATTGACAAACGTAGAAGATGCTCATCATCATTCTTTGACAGATTTAGAACATTTTTGCTTTTTGTGACAGTTTGGACATTTCTTTCTTTGAAGCTTCTTTTTGTTGTTGTCATTCTTCAGGAGTCTCTGGATGAGGTGACCATCAAGGACACTCTGGAGGGCGACAACATGTACACCTGCTCCCAGTGTGGCAAGAAGGTCCGCGCAGAAAAAAGGTTGGAATACATCCAAATATGTACAGTCTAAATACATGCAAATAAAATGTACCTTGACCACAGTGTCCTCACCGTGTCCTACCTTCCTCCTCACACAGAGCGTGTTTCAAGAAGCTGCCACGCATCCTGAGCTTCAACACCATGAGATACACTTTCAACATGGTGACCATGATGAAGGAGAAGGTCAACACTCACTTCTCCTTCCCCCTCCGCCTCGACATGACGCCGTACACCGAGGACTTCCTGATGGGCAAAGGAGAGCGCAAAGAGGGTTCGTCTCAACAGTCTGCATCTTTGTTCTGTCATGGATAAATTTCAGTGAATGTCTTGTGAATCTATCATTGTAATTAAGTTGTGGAGGGGCGTCTGCCATGTGCTTCAGGTTTTCGGGAAGAGGGTGAGACGAAGGTCACTGAGAGCTATGAGTACGACCTCATTGGCGTCACTGTGCACACGGGCACAGCAGACGGCGGCCATTACTACAGCTTCATCAGGGACATCGTCAACCCACACGCCTACAAGAACAACAAGTGGTGAGAGCTGAAACCCGCTGCAGAGTCACTTCATCAAATCAGTCACTGAGACATTAAAAGCTTTCAAAGTTTCAGATTCATGTTTCTCATTTATGTAGTTGTGTAAAAATCGAGGCGAATGATTCTTGCAGGTACCTGTTCAACGATGCCGAGGTGAAGCCCTTTGACTCTGCCCAGCTGGCCTCCGAGTGCTTCGGTGGAGAGATGACGGTACAAACTGCAGCCAGATGAAAAATCCTGCCACTTCATGTCCTCTGTCATCTTTGATCTCACTCACTTTATTTCTCTTGCAGACTAAAACCTACGACTCTGTCACTGACAAGTTTATGGACTTCTCCTTTGAGAAGGTGAGGCGCTGTTGTCCAAGCTGTATTCAAATGACTTTTTTTTTTTTTTTCTTCAAATTGTCAGGTGTGGTAGAAAGTGACACTGAAATATTGTTTGGACTTTCAGACACATAGTGCCTATATGCTCTTCTACAAGAGAGTGGAACTGGAGGAAGAGAATGGGAAGGATTTTAATTTTGATGTCTCTCCTGATCTACTTGAGGTACTTGTGGTTCTCCTTTATTAAGTTTAAATAATTGACATACGTTCACATTTAACTTTTGAATATTTCTGTGTGTCTTCCAGTGGATTTGGCATGACAACATGCAGTTTCTCCAAGATAAAAACATATTTGAGCACACTTACTTTGGGTGAGTATGAAGTCTGCTATTTTGACAGGATGAACTCTTGTCAGTATGTCTGTGAATATTCTCAATCGTCCAGGTCGTGGTTATTCTGGTAGATTAATCGTAGCAACTGGACTTGCTTGAAGACGTTCCACCTCTCATCCAAGAGGCTTCATCAGTTCTGACTGACTAGTTGGGAGTTCCAGATACTGATATCCTTAACTGAAACTCAGGTGTTAATGACTCCTTCAGGATATCTGGAACTCCCAACTAGTCAGTCAGAGCTGATGAAGCCTCTTGGATGAGAGGTGGAACGTCTTCAAGCAAGTCCAGCTGCTACGACTAATCTACAAGAAAGAACTCTTGTCAGTCTTTATAATCGTGTTTATTCTTTCATGGTTGCACAACTGATTATTTCTTTTTTCAGGTTCATGTGGCAGCTCTGCAGCAGTATTCCCAGCACTCTACCAGACCCGAAAGCTGTTTCCCTCATGACTGCCAAGGTAAGAAACACAAGCAGTGTCTCCACAACCATTGCCGTGGGAAGGGCAGCCTGGTGTAGCGTATTGATTTGATGACAAGTTGTTAGGCTTCGTTGAAAGTGTTAATCTGTATGAAATCAAAGATGGATGGACATCAAACTTATCAACCACGGGGGAAAAGCTGGACCGATACTGTCAGTTTTAAAACAATTAAAGGAATAACCATTACAATTTTTGTTTCACAGTTAATCAATTATGACCGTGCTAATTGTTAAAGTTATTTCATAGAGCACAAATGCCAACAAGGTGTCTGGTTTTAGATTTGTTGCCCTCCTGAGTAGGTTTACGCTTTGGACAGTTGTTGGACGAAGCAAAATAAAAAGTTGGTGTGTCAGAAAATAACATTTCACCTTATGACATCCCAAAATCCACATTTATTAAATAAGACAATAGTCACATACAGCTGAGTTTATAATGACAGCATTAGTCCCAGCCATAGAGAAACCCACGTGCTGTTTTAATGTGCTGCCTTTAAAAACATCTTGTATGAGCATATTAACAACATCCCAACATATCACGGTTGTTTTACGAAGCTTTCTGAGATGTCACAAGAGTCACATTGGATGTTTGGAGTTCAGCTTCAAACACAAGGGACTTCATGTTTTCTCTTTTGCCTGCAGCTCAGCACATCGTTTGTCCTCGAGACTTTCATTCACTCCAAGGAGAAGGTAATGTACATCTACCTTTTGTCGTCTGGACACTTGAGACAGTTTTACAGGGGAAAGAAAAGGACAAAGTGACCGTTGCGTGTCCTCATGTTTTCCTTCTCCTCCGTTACCTCCAGCCCACCATGCTGCAGTGGATCGAACTTCTGACCAAACAGTTCAACAACAGCCAGGCCGCCTGCGAGGTTCGAGCTTTGCCCAGTATCTACCACGATGTTGTAGTTATTTTAGTGCTCCTCCAGTCATGTGTATTGTATTTTTAATTTAAACTGTATATTGTGAGGAAAAGAGCGTAGAACCTGTTTGTCTCTGTTTCAGTGGTTTTTGGATCGGATGGCTGACGACAACTGGTGGCCGATGCAGATCCTCATTAAGTGCCCCAATCAGATTGTCAGACAGGTCAGCTTTATTGCTACACACATTATGGACAAAGATAGAAAACAACAAAATGCCATGATTAACTCTGAACTATGATAAGATACCTGTTTTTTTGTTATGACACAGTTTCTCCCTGTTGACCTTGTTCTCTGTGCACCCATATGAATTTCCATCTTGATGTCGTCTCATGTCCGAACTGCTCTCTCCGTCTTCCAGATGTTCCAGAGGCTGTGTATTCATGTTATCCAGCGGCTGCGTCCGGTTCACGCTCATCTCTACCTGCAGCCCGGCATGGAGGACGGGTACGTGACGCCTAAAGGGGCCAGTTCGACAAAGTGATTTCTGCCTGGTTGCTCTGAGCAAAACCATTTCACCAAGAATTTCAGTATATCACTGATACCCCTTTTCCACCAAGAAGAACCAGGTGCTAGTTCCAGTGCTTAGTTGGTTTTAATCTAAGAACCGGTTGCTTTTCCATCGGCAGCAAGCCAAGTTAGAGCCACAACATACGTCACGTAGCCGTTTACCACACGGAAGTCCACACAGGACTCCAGACTGACTTTTTTACAGACGCGACCAATTTTCTCATTTGTTCGCACTTCTCACCTTGTCACAGGCAAAACATATGACCTGCTGAACATTTTCTTATTGATAGACTCTACAATTTCCGATGCTCCCCGAACGCCCCACATAGCAGGCTGTGGTTGCTGCTGTTGGTGGCTGCAGTACTTAGACCGGTGTGCGACCAATGATGACTTTAAAAAGAGTAAACCAGAGTGTTCTAATGTCAGATTTGTCCAAGAAGAAGCCGAGTGAATTTTTTCTCGTGCAGTCTTTTCTATGAACGGAATAAACGCACATGTAGGTGCGCTCCGTTTTTCACGAGAAGACCGTATTTCTAAGCGTAAATACTGCAGCACACCGAAGTTATAAAAGTACTGTTTTCCATCACTGTGGTGCTGCTGGTGGGACACAGTTGGACCGGATTTCAGGGTGCAACAGTTTGTTCAAAACGTCTGTGTGTCCGGGAACTCATTCTAATACATCCGTGATCGGACCAGAGACGTCCTGGTGAAGAACGACTCAGATCACCGCTTGTGTTTTCCATTCTGTGTTTCCAGCGGTCTGATTGGTCACGATAGCCCCGTCCCCAGCCCCTGACGTACTCTGTGCTTAGCTCTGGCCCAGCAAAGAGTTGGTGCCTGAAAAGCACCAGTTTTGACAACCTGGAGCCGGTGCTTAGGCGGTGGAAACACAAAGAACTGGTGCTAAGTCAGGCACTAGCACAGAACTAGCACTGGAACTGGTTTGGTGGAAAAGCGGTATCAGAGTATTATGACTTGGTGTTGTAGTTTGTCTTATTAGTGTTTTTATTGTACTTCTATTGAACCAATTTACTGTCTTTGCTCCAGTCCAAAGAAGAACACACGAGAGGCCCATTTTATATCAAAAGTAACCTGGATGACGATGTGTTTCTGCCATTAGTGGTGTGCGGCACAAACAGACAGTGTTGTGCCTGTGAAATCAGATGGCTATAGAGACCCAGACAGGAGCTGTGTGTCGCTCAGTGTTGCCGTCACTCTGGACTCTGAGAAAGATTTGTTGCTCCACATGACTGAAACACATGCTGAGTGGTGGAGATGTGTCTGATCACAATCTCCAAGTTATGCATAAACCGCCTGTGTCATGAGTCAAACATCTGCCCCTGTGTGTTCAGCTCTGACGACATGGATGGTCCAGTGGAGGATATTGGAAGCCGGTCCTGTGTCACCCGCTTCGTTAAAACTCTCCTGTCCATCATGGAGCACGGCGTCAAGCCGCACAGCAAACACCTGACCGAGTACTTCGCTTTTCTCTACGAGTTCGCCAAAATGGGAGAGGAGGAGGTGGGTCTACGTTAATGTCTGAATGACGTTAGTCCATAAAGTCCAACACTTTATCAGCTCAGTGTTGAGTCTTAGTTATTTTGTGTCCGCTTTTATTTTTAAATTCATTAAAAAGGTTCAGTTGTTTTTCCCTATATTGTATTTTTTATTTTTTAAATGCACCTATTTTGTTTGCCTGTGTCCACAGAGTCAGTTCTTGTTATCACTACAAGCCATCTCTATCATGGTACATTTCTACATGGGAACCAAAGGCCCTGAAAATGTAAGTTTACACAACTTGTTTGTTTATTGCAATATTTTTTTTATATTTCCAACTAACTAACTAAACCAAGGCTACGTTCACACTGCAGGACTTGATGCTCAATTCAGATTTTTTTGTGAAATCCGATTTTTTTGCGAGTTCGTTCACATTTCCGATTAAATGCGACTTGTATGTGATCTGCTGTGTGAACTTCATACGACCCAAAAGTGTCCCGCAGAGGACATGACGACGTCACACGCAGCGAAAAACTGGATCTGTGTTGTTCAGACTGTCATGAAAAGATCAGATACAGTTTGGATAGGTGCAAAAAAAAAATTGGGTTTGGGTCACTGAACGTAGCCTTACTGGTTTCCCGACTGATACACAATAGATGACATGTAGGTCACATAATTCTAAGAAGGAACAGACTAAAGGACAGATGTGTTCCACCAGCCTCAGGTGGAGGTGCTGTCAGAGGAGGAGGGAGAGGAAGAGGACGAGGAGGAGGACATCTTGTCTCTGGCAGAAGAGAAATATCGTCCTGCAGCTCTGGAGAAGATGATCGCACTCATTGCTCTGCTGGTGGAGCAGTCGCGCTCTGAGAGGTACGAGTACAGGCCACCGTTGTTTTCCATGCAGGTTTATTGACAAACAGGAATTCAAGCAACTCTTGGCTTCTCTTTCTGCTCTGCTCCAGACATCTGACTCTGTCACAGAGCGACATGGCAGCGCTGACCGGAGGGAAGGGCTTCCCTTTCCTCTTCCAGCACATCAGAGACGGCATCAACATCAGACAGACCTGCAACCTCATCTTCAGCCTCTGTCGCTATAACAACCGGCTGGCAGAACACGTATGTGTATTGGAAACAAATTTGATTTGAAGTAGAGGGTTGCTAGTGTACAGTTCTGATTTTAAACCTACAAGCGCCAACAGCAGCATAATCAACAATGGGTACCAAGTTTTTTTATGTGTAATTATTCTCCTGACTTTGCAGATTGTGTCCATGCTCTTCACCTCCATTGCAAAGCTAACTCCTGAGGTAAGCATGATGGGAACAAATAATAATTAAAACAACAACTTTTCAGCTTTTGTGTTTCAAGACTTGTACATCAGACGAACAAGTCTTGTTCTCTTCCGTTCGACTGTCTGATCCTGGTATAAAGGTAAAACACGGAGCTCTACATTTTGTTCTGTTTTTTTTTTCCCATCAGGCTGCCAATCCTTTCTTCAAGCTGCTGACAATGTTGATGGAGTTTGCAGGCGGACCACCGGGGATGCCCTCCTTCGCCTCCTACATCCTCCAGAGGATCTGGGAGGTAGAGCTGCTCTCACTGACGCTAAATCACAATACTGCATCTAGTGAGGCTGAAAATCTTTGAGAGGGATCCGGATGTCTTGTATCTAAATATTTTCTTTTACCTGCTGTTTATGTTTGTTTTTATTCAGTTGGAAAGTCAACCTGTGTCATCAAAAGTGTCATTTACTGTGTGATCAAAAGTTTGAAGGAACCACAAATCTTTGTTTTGCATTTTCACAATAGTTGCTAATTTACTTTTGATGAACCAGTCGAGTAACCGAGTCGATGCGGCTATAAATACAGCTACATATTTCCAACTCCTGAGTTCAGCCATTCTTATCCAGATCATAAGAATCGTTATGTACAGCTGGAAAGCATTAAATCATCAATCATGCTTTCATACTTTGTCCTCGCTGATGTAAGCAACAGAGATCACATTAAAGATAGCACATCAAAGAATCATAGATGAACACGTGAGCTCGCCAGTGTAGGACCGTTCCAGTGCTCATGAAACATCTGATGTGATCTTTAACCATCTCCTGTTTGCTTCCTGTCAGGTGATTGAGTACAATCCGTCCCAGTGTCTTGACTGGCTGGCTGTCCAGACCCCCAGGAACAAGCTGGCCCACAGCTGGGTGCTGCAGAACATGGAGAACTGGGTGGAGCGCTTCCTGCTGGCCCACAACTACCCCCGAGTCCGCACATGTAAGAGCCTCGGCACAACCTCAGGAGGGATGTTCTGTAGGAGTCTGTTTTCTTTTAACCCATTCCACACAAGTACAACTCAGCAGTGAAATCAACCCAACCAGCAGCTAAACTGACTGCAGACAGAATAAAAGCACGTCGTGAAACTTAGACGAGAGCTTCGATGTCATTTACAGACGGGTTAAGAAATTGTAATAAAACCACGATTAACTAAATGTATAAAACATTCAGCTTTGCTTTAGATACCTTAAATTAGACATGCATGAGAACATTTAAGAACAAAACACCCACTATTTTACTGTCTTCCATTTTTAGTTCTTGTTTAGAAGTGATATAGACTTCACCTCGCATTCTTTCACTATTCATTGTGTACCAACAGGAACAGGTGAAGCATAAAGCTGTGTGTGAACCATAAGAAATGAAGCCAAAGCTTGATTGGATCAGAGATTACTGGCTGTACTTGTTACTCTGACACACTAAATCGGTGTAATTAGACGGATTCAACAAACGATGAGCTAAGAGCCACCAAACAGTGAGAACAGCTGCTGATTTGTTCCTGATGCTAAATCAGTCCGTCTCCTCTCTCCAGCAGCGGCATACCTCCTCGTCTCCCTCATCCCCAGCAACTCCTTCCGCCAGATGTTTCGATCCACTCGCTCCCTTCACCTGCCGACCCGCGAGCTGCCACTGTCGCCTGACACCACCGTGGTTCTGCACCAGGTCTACAACCTGCTGCTGGGGCTGCTGGGACGCGCCAAGCTGTACGTGGACGCCAGCGTTCACGGTACCACCAAGCTGGTGCAGTATTTCAGCTTCATGACCTACTGCCTCATCTCCAAGACGGAGAAGCTCATGTTCTCTGGATACTTCATGGACCTCTGGAACCTCTTTCAGGTACGTTCATCTGTCTCTTATACGACAGACGGATAAGAATGAAATGACGTTTTTGGATTTATCCTCCAGACTTCCATCCATCCATCCATTATCTATACACCACCTAATCCTCACAAGAGTCGCGGGTCACCAGTCAATATGAGGCGACGGTGCTAACCACTGAGCCACCTTGCAGTCCTCCTCCAGACTTTTCTTTAAAAAATAAATAAATAAATCAGAACAAAATGCAGAACAAAACTCATTTTCTGTCTGGTTCACTGCCATCAGTGCATCCACCAGCAGCAGGCATCCCTGACAAACCCACTGGACACTTTCTGCTCAGCACCGGAAAGCAGACACACAGTTGGACTTCTTTCCTCTGTTTCGTAGTTATTGCAAATTGATCTTTGGGTTTGGATGGTTGGTCATAATCAATCTGAAGACGTCACAGAGACATGTCAGCTGTAAGATGTAATTAGCCTGCAGCTCAGCGAAAAAGTCCCTGAATCTTTGTCATGTGACTGTTGGCTTCAGCAGAGTCAGTAATGGGCAGTAATTTTGCCGAAAAGCACAAGAACTTCTAAGAGAATCTAGTGTAAATGATTAATTCTTGCCTACTTTTAAATTAAGAGTGCGTTCACGATAGGACCAGGCAGGGGCGGCACAAGCCATCTCGCTGATTTCAATAGCACGCTTTCCAAACCTGGCAGAATAATCAACTATGAAAATACTTCTCATATCCTATGTTAGGGCTGCCAGGTGACTCGGTGGTTAGCATCGTTGCCTCGCAGCTAGAAGGTCGCCGGTTCACGTCCCGGTGACACCCAGGATCTTTCTGCGTGGAGTCTCCATGTTCTCCCCGTGCAGCGTGGGTTCTCTCCGGGTTCTCCAGCTTCCTCCCACAGTCCAAAAACATGCTGAGGTTAATTGGTGATTCTAAATTGTCCGTAGGTGTGAATGTGAGTGTGCTTGGTTGTCTGTCTCTAAGTGTAGCCCTGTGATAGACTGGTTACCTGTCCAGGTGAACCTGCCTTCACCCTGAGTCAGCTGGGATAGACTCCAGTGACCCTAGTGAGGATTAAGCGGAGTATAATACATGGATATCCTGTGTTATTGTGACAAATAGGCCCCTTGTCTAAAACTTTTAGATTTTCTCTTTTTGTTTTCAGCCCAAACTGTCAGAGCCGGCCATTGCCACAAACCACAACAAGCAGGCGCTGCTGTCCTTCTGGTACAACGTGTGCGTGGATTGTCCAGAAAACGTCCGGCTGGTGGTGCAGAACCCCGTGGTGACCAAGAACATTGCCTTCAACTACATCCTGGCCGACCATGACGACCAGGAGGTGGTGCTTTTCAACCGTGGCATGCTGCCCGCCTACTACGGCATCCTGCGCATGTGCTGCGAGCAGTCGCCCGCCTTCACCCGCCAGCTGGCGTCGCACCAGAACATCCAGTGGGCCTTCAAGAACCTGACGCCTCACGCCAGCCAGTATCCAGGGGTGAGTGAACAGTCAGACTATGTGTTTTTAATCTGCTTTTTGCTGATATGGCAGGCAGTAGACGCTACATCAGTGCTGTGCTGATGTTTCCATCTTTAGATTTAATCAGAATTTCATTTGCAATTCCTGTGCTGTGACAGAGATTTGAATTGTTTTGTCAATTTTTCAGAGTATATTTAACACAACATTCATTTGGATGACTCAACAGAGAAAACAACAGAAAACCCAACCAAACATGAAAGCAATAAAATTAGTTTTTGTTAATAAAACAGAAAAATTAATCAAAAGGACATCAATCATTTGTTGATGGAAGACAAACCTCCGCACACAAACGAGCAGCAATAGAAGATAATGAATGAATCTGTGCTGTTTCAGGCGGTGGAGGAACTGTTCAACTTGATGCAGCTGTTTGTGGCGCAGCGAGCCGACATGAGGGAGGAAGAGGTGGAGGATGTGAAACAGTTTAAGAAAACCACCATCAGCTGCTACCTGCGCTGCCTGGATGGACGCTCCTGCTGGACCACTCTCATCAGGTCAGGACGCTGTGAGGCCACATGTGTGTGTAGTCCGGTTAAGAAGCACACGAGAAAGTCTGATGATGGTTATATGTTGGTTCTTGGTTGTAAATTCTCATCTCAAACTTTAAAGCTTGAACATTTGCTCAGTATTTTCCTGCTAAAGAATGTTTGTGTCTGCTGGTCCTGGCAGTGCCTTCAGAGTTCTGCTGGAGAACGACGAGGACCGGCTGCTGGTGGTCTTCAACAGAGGACTCATCCTCATGACTGAAGTATGATCCAAATCACCTCCTAATGTTGAAGCTGTTCAGTTTGCATGTCATCATTTTACAAACAGTCTTTCGTTCTTTTGTTTCTGCACAAAGCAAAAATAACGTTAAAAGATGCATCTAAAAAGGATTTACAAGGTTGTATTAAAATGAAAGATCTCATGATGCTATAAGAGCTTCAACAAGAGAGTAAAGTTGTCTTTGGAGTGCAAAGTATGAACATGAATAAACTGTCCAAAGTTGGATTTAATCAAATTCTCAAGAATTTTATCCAACAAAAGTAGAAAGTCTCTGAGGAGACTCTGTAAATGCATGAAGTAACGACATGCTTGACGTCCGTCTGTCCCCCCGCAGTCCTTCAACACTTTGCACATGATGTACCACGAGGCGACGGCGTGTCACGTCACCGGAGACCTGGTGGAGCTGCTCTCCATCTTCCTGTCTGTCCTCAAAGCCACGCGGCCGTACCTGCAGCGCAAAGGTCAGACCGCCTCACTGTTAGCAGGAAGAGAAGGAAGTGTGTATGATTCAACAAGGGGTTAAGATTTGTAGCCAGATTTCATTTGCTGATGTTACATCTGCAATGCATGTGTTGTTTGTTACTGTACTTCAAACAGAGCATCAGCGAGCCACACTCAGGGATGTACAGTGCCGAGGTTGCCTCTGGGTGACTTTTAATGTTTCCTTGCAGCGTCTCGTCACTGAGTAGGAGAGCATCACCACTTTCACGTGCTCACTTTGGTGTAAAAGACGACCTTCCTGAACTGAACAAACCTCACAGACGACAGAAATCTGCACAAGCAGCCCATCAGCTCACACTTCTCGTACACAAATAGCAACACGTTTATCGTTTCATGGTAGAGTCGACTACCTGGAAATAGAAATACAGATATCAGTGACGTCATTTTTTGCTATTTGTGGAACACTTTGACTCGTCGGCCTCATTCTGACCAGTCCACACAGCAGCTAGAGACATCTGTAGTTTAGTTCTGGCTGCTCACAATAGCTCAGAAGAATTGAATTACAGTATCAGCAATACACATCTAATCTACCCGACTTGCTGTGTGCTTGTGCCTGTTGTGATGAAGCCTTGACGTGTTGCTTTTTGGACTCGACACACACAGCAGCGTGGCTCCGTAAGACAGAAGCATGAAGTGGTTTTTAGAGCCAGGCTTGGTCGTACAACTGCAAGAGTATGTTGCTGACAAAAACTAATCGGTGTGTGACAAATTCATAGCCTCGAGTGGGTGGATGTCGCGTCATTGGTTACTGAAAATTCTAGAGTTGGTCGGATGCAGCGCCCCGACCCGCCTCCAGTCTGCGTGGAGTTCCCAAAGTTCTGTATTGATCCAGTAAGCAGTTCTACACGGTGCAGATGTGTGCTGACTGGGCAGGTTTTTCTGTTTCATGTCACCCAGATGTGAAGCAGGCTCTGATCCAGTGGCAGGAGAGAATCGACTTCGCCCACAAGCTGCTCACACTCCTCAACTCGTACAGCCCTCCGGAGCTCCGTAACGCCTGTCTGGGTAAACCCTCATCTTCAGCGCCTCTCTTCTTTAATATAGCATTTACAGTCAAAGTGTACACGCTGAGGGATTTGCACTCTTTGGCCCTTGAGGATAAAACATTTGCAGTTACAGCTGAGATGGGTTCATAGACATATAAACACCATTTATGGGACGACGTTCTAATCAGTGCAAACAGTGTTTTTACTTTTTTACAGCACCAGATAATCACTGACTGACTGTAACTGAGCCAGCAGCTGGTTTTCCTGAATGTGTTGGAGCTCGGAGGTTTAAAAGCATCCTGTAACGTGTCGTTCTGCTTGTTGCAGATGTTCTGAAGGAACTCGTTCTGCTGAGTCCACATGACTTCTTGCACACTCTGGTCCCGTTCTTGCAGCACAACCACTGCACCTACCACCACAGCAACATCCCCAGTAAGTCTCCTCCTCATCATCTGTTCACCTTCTGTCCATCGTCTGTCTCAGTGTGCACGTCCTCATTGTGTGTCAATAAACAACAGATCATTATTTAATGAAGCTGTATCGGTTTGTCAACATATGATCCTGTCTTGACTGAACTCTGCGCCTCAGCCTGCTTCCTGAATGTAGAAATGTGTTCCACATTGACAGCTGACTCTGGCAAAATTCGCTGAGCCACGTGTCCTTAAATCCTCACATCTCTTTCCTGTTATAAATGATCAGTTTAGGATGTGGCCTATCGGTTTAACAGTTCTGATCGTCACTGCCGATGTTTAAAAAATAAAACTATGCAGATAGCAGCTCATATCCGCTGCTAATCAACAGTAATTCTATGAGCAACCTGACGACAGAACAAATGAATTCTTAACATACACCACATGTGCAGCTCTCAGACACATGTTCAGTGATGTATCCTGGGGTCATTGGGTGTTTCGGGTCTCGCAACATCAAACACCCTCTCCCACGCGACCCAGACAGGGCTGATCAAGCCCCGACTTCTCTCTGAGTAGCTTGTGTTGTCCACGGATCACCCCGCTTGATCCACAGCCATCTTGACGCCTTTTCAGCAGCATCTGTGATGTTCCTGATGGCCGTCCTGGTGTGCAGTTCCTTTACCTCGAGCATCTTGAGGGCCCTGACTGGCCAACGAATCCTCTGCACCCCACCTCAATGGGGTTCCACCGGGTCCTCCAGCCCTTGCTTCGGCATTCGCCTGCCAGCTCCTCATACTTGGCCCTCTTCCTCTTGAAGGCCTCCTCCATGTGGTCTTCCCAGGGAACAAGCAACAAATAAAAATGGTTTGAGGTAAAAGAAGAGTCACCGTGTCCCACAGAGTGAGACGTCTTCTCTGGAGCTGAGCAGGAGTCACATTCTTCAAACGAAGCTTTTCTCACCGTTTCAGTCTTTTAAATTGATCACATTAATAGTTTGGGAGCAAAATCTGTGGCAAATATAAAAGGCTACAGCTGATAAATGCTTGATTTGGATATCTTTTTTTAGATTCTTCAGGTAATCCTATGACATGAATAAACGTGTCTGTCCGTCTGTCCACAGTGTCATTCGGCCCCTACCTGCCGTGCAGAGAGAACATCAAGCTGATGGGAGCCAAAAACAACATCCGACCTCCGAGACCAGAGCTCAACATGTGTCTGCTGCCCTCTTTGGTTGAGAGCAGCAAGGTGCGTTCACCTCTGTCACGTCGCCTGTTAAAGTCCGACACTGTTTTACCACAAACACAAAAGCGATTTTAAAACTTCTTTGCTTGTCTCGGTTTTCTGAATCTGCTCTTCTTTGGCTCTTTAAAACCAGCAGCGGCTTGATGATGATGGTAAACTCTGTTTGTGTGTCTCAGGGTAAAGACGAGGTGTACGACCGGATGCTGCTGGACTACTTCCTGTCGTACCATCAGTTCATTCACCTGCTGTGTCGTGTCGCTATCAACTGCGAGAAGTTCACCGACACACTCGTCAAACTCAGTACGTATCTGTGTGTGTGTTTGTTTTCATTATTCCCTTGTGTTGCCATTAATTGCTTTTATTGCAGCACGATGCAGTTTTATGGGACGTTATGTTGTCATTCTAACGAGGAATCGACTGATATTTGAAGCCAGGCCTGAAACGCCGATCATCGGTCATCCTATAATTCTGACATTTGTTCATCAGTGACTCTTTAAAAAGCACTTATGAGGACAACGGGGAAACAATTCATAACTATATGATGAATGATGGCAAAAGTCACAATAATCCATAAATGTATGTCTGCAAACATCCAGAGGGATTCACATATCATGTTACATATAAACACTTTGTCCTTCTCTGCCTCTCCCAGGTGTGTTGATAGCATATGAAGGACTTCCTCTTCATCTCGCCCTTTTCCCCAAACTGTGGACCGAGCTCTGCCAGTCACAGGTACAGCTGCATGCTTCTGCTTTTTGTTGATTATCATGTGACCTGTAGTTTCTATCATAGAAAACCTCGTTATTTCACAGCAACAACTCAGAGTCTTCTTTCTGTACTTTCAGTCTGTTCTGGCTAAAACATGCGTGAAGCTGCTGTGTGAAGATCCGGCCTTTAGCGAGTACATCAAATGCATCCTGATGGACGAGAGGACGTTTCTCAACAATAACGTGGCCTACTCCTTCCTCACCTGCTTCCTGCACAAGGTACAGTTCTGTCAAGGATGTTTTTTTTATTAACCACAGTAGTAGTAGTGACTTACATCTAATGATTTTAGTAAATTACAAGGAAATATTCCAGACAATAAACTGGACAATACAGGAGAACAAACATGAAGCCAAATGTCCAGGACGTTCCAGTTTCTTCAAGGTGTTTTGTTGTTGAGGGAAATCTAACTTTTCTAATCGTGTGTCTGTAGGTCCAGGTGCTGTCGGGTCCCAGCTGCTCCAATCTGATCGGCGTTTTGGTCACAAACCTGCTGAGCGAGCAGAGCAGCCTGCAGCCTGAACTGGCCGCTCACCGCCTGGAGCTCAACAAGACCAGCGGCCTGCTCAACGCTGTACGAACACACACACATACACACGACACATGTTTCAGGCTCAACGGCGCTCTCCTCCACAAGTGTTCCGCTCGTTCATTCCTTCATCTCTCTCTCTGCTTCAGGACCTGAGGGCGTTGGTGCTGCTGCTGTCCGTCCAGCCGCCCCAGGCCGTTGACCCGGCCCTCTGCCCCGCCCTGCAGGAGCTGCTGGGTCGTTGTCGTGCGTGCGTCCAGCAGCGTAGTGCTCTGGAGCTGGAGGCCAAAGACCACAAGGCCAAAGGTACGGCACACTGGATTCACCTCATCTTCCTCCCACATCCTGTCAGCTTTAAACCAACACCTTGACTTAGGAGAATCCACGGCCTCATTAATCAGCAGTGGGTTTATCAATAACAAAATGTACTCAGGAGATGTCAGGTCCTGATAGGGCGGCTTTTAATGGGCCCGTAAGCAGATCAGATTACATGTCAGGGAACCACAGTGATGTTGTTATACTTCACTTACAAAACAAGAGCTTTAGCTGTTGGGCATTACGCATCACCAGAACTTTTCTCATGGTGCCCCGTTGCTAGATAAACTCCCACAATGCTCTCTGCTCGCTGAGAGTCAGAGTGTTAAACAGTGAGAGGTACCGAGTACTACAGCTAGCGTCACGTCCTTGGTCTTCTGTCTTACCGGTTTGTGTATTTTTATTTGTGTGTCAGCTGAGGACGAAGGTGCGACGCCGGTGAAGCGGCGGAGGGTGAGCAGCGACGACGACCGGGCCGGAGACGCAGCGGCTCCGGTCTGCGTGGCCTCCACCTCCTCCGCAGCCCTGCCCCCCTGCAGCGAGCCCAAGACGGACCACCAGGAGGCGCTGACGCCCACCAGCACCTCGGACACGGAGACGCGAGACTCCTCCTCGCTGATCGACCCGGGAACCGAGCAGGACCCGCCCTCTCCCGACCCCACCCCCGCCTCCTCTGGAAACCTGGACTCCTCCCCCAAAGAGGAGAAGATGGAGGCCTCTTCGTCGTCATCTTCCTCATTCTCCTCGTCGTCCTCCTCTCTGCTGCAGGAGGCGGGGGAGGGGTTTGTTCAGGGGGAGGAGCCTGAGCCGCCACAACACGTGGCGACGGGCGAGGAGGAGGAGGCGGAGCAGCGAGAGGGGAGGAGGGGCGAGGCGATGTCTACCTCCATAGAAGAGGTGAAGGAAGAAAAGGAGGCGGGCTCTAAACCCAGCAGCAGCTTGGTCCCGCCCATTTCAGAGGATGCTGCCTTCCCATCAGCCCTTGGGTTGGTGGGGGAGGGGCCAGACAGCTGCGGTGGCCACGCCTCCTCCTCGCAGGTGTTCCCGAGCGCCGGCCCCCCACCCGACATGCTGGACATGCTGTACAGGACGGTGGAAGCCACCATCGCCATAGTTACCAAACTGTCTGTTAAAGGCCCGCCCTCTTCATGACATCATCAACTCACAGCCGCCATGAGATCTTAAACTAATCTTTTATGTTCCTTTAATGTTTATTTTTCTCTTTTTAATCTGAATTCCGTTCAGTGGAAGCAAACTTTCTCTGTTTTTTTCTGTTCCTCCTCCTTCTTCTTGTTCTTCTGCTGTTTTCGTGCTGCTGTTCGTTGCCTTCTGCTGATGTTCAGTCGGTCAGTTTTTCCAGCTTCAGTGGCTCCCGCTGTGTCGTTTCGCTCTATAAAGCTCCGACTCCACGCACAGCCGACCCCTCGTTTGTCAAATAAAGAAGAAAAAAAAAAAAAACAGAAAAAGTCGTACAAGCTATAGCACATTTTTTCAAAGGGCAAAAAAAAAGTTTGTTTTGTTGTTTTATTTTTTTTTTTGTGTGTGCGTGTTTTATACTGATTTGAATTTGTTTTGGAAAGTGATTTTATTTGTTTGAGGTTTGCTGTAACGGGGAAAGGTTTACAGAACTTTTGTCTCCTCTGTATGTAATTTAATTTTATTGCATTTTTACTGTGTATAAAAATGGTCGTCCTCTGTGCCAGTTTTGTACTTTATGAACGAGGCAAAAGAAAGTTGCCTTGAGTCTTTCTGTGGTTTAATTATCCAGAAAATAAGTTTACCTGTAAATTATGAGAACCACAAGAAACTTGATTCTGTAAAGAATCCTCTCTAGTCATTGCCTGAAGGTGTATATGAAAACTATATAAATATATATATAAATATCTTTATATATATATGACTATATAAAAGTGGTGCTTTATTTGACTGTGGTTGAAATAAAGCCCCCATGTTGGACCAGCTGGAGCTTTTATTTTTACTGAAGTACATTCCATAATCTATTGTTTATTTTTGCTTCTTCTGCTGTGTTCTGATTTTCTTCTGATTTTATTTTAATAGAGAATAAATTAATAAAACAGTTTTAATATGGAAGAATTATGAACTGAAATCCCTGTGGAGCTGTGAGGTTTTATTTCTGTCCTCCGTGCAGCGTCGGCATCGTTCCAGATAAACGCAGGCTGCGTTCTTCCTCGGCAGCGTCCGGGGCCTGCAGGGGGGATGTACGGCGAGTCGGATGGATCAAAACACGTGGTGATCGCGAAGACGACGCGAGCGCACATCGTAGTTTACATACAATCAAATGTATTCATCCCCTTCCATTAAACAAAAAGGCAAAATCCACAAGTCACTCAAATAACTACAAACTGAAAAAAGTAAAAATAAATATATATATATTTTTAAAGAATCACATTCACAACATGGTTCTGACCAAAAACTAAGGTTGAATAATTTGGGGAAAATATCTCTGCATTGTTTTTCTGACAAATATGATTGGATTTTTTTTTCAAGTGTGGTATTTTATATAATTTTTTAGGCTTTTAATCTTAATAATTAACTAAAATCACGCCATAAATAACACTGTAGGGCAGGGGTCTCGAACTCCGGTCCTCGAGGGCCGTAATCCTGCAAGTTTTAGATGTTTCCTTCTTCCAACACACCTGATTCAAATGATCAGGATCGTTATCAGGCTTCTGCAGAGCTTGATGATGAGCTGATCATGTGAATCAGGTGTGTTGGAAGAAGGAAACATCTAAAACTTGCAGGATTGCGGCCCTCGAGGACCGGAGTTCGAGACCCCTGCTGTAGGGTTTTAACCGTGACATTTGAACTTGTTTGGTTAATTCGTACTCTTATTTTTCGACAGAGCTGATTTTAGATGTGCTGTATAAAGCTTGTTTGCCATCCGTTCCCGGTGCTCCACAGTTTTTCTTGTGTGAAGGTCGAATTTATTGCGGTAATGTCAAAACCGTTTGTGTTTAATACGGGAAAGCGTCAGAAAGCTTTAGATTCAGTGTTTGGTAAATCCTAAACCATCTGCTTCAGTAAGACTGTGCACGTTTTTAGCAAACAACAAAAAAACACTAATAACTTGATTAGCGTAGCGACACTTTCTTTGTCTTTACAAAGTGCTCCGTCAGACGAAGCTAAAGCAGATTAACCAAAAATGCAACGTGACAACAAACACAATAGACTCACAAAAGGGTCAAATTTATAACTGCAAACAAAATTGGTAAAACATTAAAAAGCGCAAAAAGGAAAGAAGGGACGACGTCACATAAAAGCAAGTTGAGAAAACGGGGGTTTAAGAAGTGACCTTAAAAGACGTCAGTGATTCTGGGAGCCTGATCTGCTCTGGCAGGTCGGTACAGAGCTGAGAGTTGCTCAATGGTTCAAAGTAAGTTTGGAAATCAAGGCCCCAGAGTCTGGAGGAAGAGCGAAGAGGATGTACGGTGTTGGAAGTCCGGTGTAAAGTCTCTGATGACTTAGGGGGTTGTTGTGTCATCTACTCGTCCACCAAATGCAGATTTCCTTTTCCAGTAGGATGTACCACCTCACCACAGAGCCCAAACTACAACCACATGCTGACCGTGATGTTACTGATTGGACAGCCAACTGACATGAGCCGAACCCCATAGAACCTCATATAGGACAAGATGAAGATGAGAAACAACCGACTGCTGCTACCAAAGCAACCTGAGCGTTAATGACACCTCAGCAGTTCTACCGGCCGACGGGCTCCACACCACCCTGATGTCATGTCATGGGTAGAAATAAGACGTTTCCTGCCGCGACCAGCTCGCAATCTGGTAGCACCATGTTGTTGTGTGTTGGTGTAATGAACGGCTGTCTTGGAGATCTTCAGTTGTTTTTTTTCCGCTACCTGTCTCTCACTCATGCCAGTTTCCAGCAGAGCCAAGATGGCCGCCCATGTGGCTTCACATAGTTCTTTTGTTTTAGGCGTTATGTGGAGCTGACAGCTTCTGAGTTGTGCTACGACTTGAGTGTAAGCAGGAAACCACTCCAGGCCTCTAGTTTATTATCAGGAAGTTTGCACTGTCATAAACCACGGCTGCAGTGGCCTTTATTACGTGATAATGGTCTATAAATACTGTGACCTTGACATAACATAACTCCGTACATTTGATAAGACAGCCGTGATTTTCCACCTGCGAGTGGTTCTTGGTCGGCCATGTGTTTCATCTCTGGTGTCCAGTTCTGGGAGTATATTTTGCTCCTTGTCTTCCTGGCCCTGTGATACTCGGTCCTGGTCAGTACTTTTGCTGTGGCCTGTTGTGGTCTGGTATTTCCAGTTGGCTCGCTCTTGTCTTGGTAAATTGTTTGGCTGCTTCCCCCATCATCCGCCAGAGGTCGCTGTTGTGCTTCGGTTCATTTCTTTGTACTTTAAGTAATCTGTGTGAGTACGTTCCCTTTAGTCTGAACTAAACTGAGAGATATACAGTGTGTTTAAAAATGATATTTTGAGGGACTGGATTTCTGATGTCCATGAGCCACGTTCCTCAAAATGGAAACAGAAAAATGCGACACACATTTTACTTTACATGTAATGAGTGCAGAACATACATGTTGGCTTTGTTAAGTAACTGCTGGAAAATATGTAACTTTTTCATGATGTTCTAATTGTTCTGCTGTCTGTTCCCAGAGTGGGCTGCAAGGTGTCTCGGTGGTTAGCACCGTCGCCTCACAGCTAGAAGGTCGCCGGTTCGCGTCCCGGTGAGGACACCCGGGATCTTTCTGCGTGGAGTCTCCATGTTCTCCCCGTGCAGCGTGGGTTCTCTCCGGGTTCTCCGGCTTCCTCCCACAGTCCAGAAACATGTTGAGGTTAATTGGTGATTCTAAATTGTCTGTAGGTGTGAATGTGAGTGTGCTTGGTTGTCTGTCTCTAAGTGTAGCCCTGTGATAGACTTGTTACCTGTCCAGGTGAACCTGCCTTCACCCTGAGTCAGCTGGGATAGGCTCCAGCCCCCCATGACCCTAGTGAGGATTAAGGTGTAGAGATGATGGATGATGGGAACGGAGAGTTCTACCTGCAAACAGTTATAAACTGATAAAGTTTCCTCTTAGTTATTACATATATGGGATATTTGACAGGAACCTTCTCCAGAGCTTTTATCAGCATCCACTGACGTAGGCGTGACTCACTACGAAGTTCTGCCCATCGCCGCCATCTCCATGACAACTGAGTCAAAAAAAACTTTGAGACGCATGTTGCTGAGGCCTTACGTGTGCTTTGTTATTTTTGTAAAGTGAAAAGATAACTAAAATGATGTGGTAATCATTTTATTGTAATTACAAACTAATATTTACATTTCAAAATGGCAGAACAGCTTCATTCCACTTTGTGATCTCCGTGTAATGCCACTGACGTTTTACATCAACACATGAAACGACAGTGTGAGAACTCTCAGCGCTCGTGTTGAGCAGCAGACAGACGCAGGTTAGAAAGCAGCTGATTGAGAATAAAGCAGCTAAAAAGCCAGAGGAGGTGGTGAAGAACAAAAACAGAGCTAAAAGAGAGCGAGCGTTGTACTTTGATTAATCCGGGGGGACAGAAACACAACGATGAATGATGGCGTCACCTGGTAACTAACGGTGGAAAGTAACTAAGTACATTTGCTTATACGCTGCACTTGAGTACAATTTAGAATCTTATTTGAATAGTTTGTCATAAAAATCAGTGTGTAGTTGGGCTCAACACATGTTCTGATGATTCAATACGTCACTAAAAACGAAAGCTATGAGCAAACATCTGGAAACACATTCTTCTCTTTTCCCATTAACGATATTTGCATATTTATCTGCCGTAAATAAAACTGCATATAAAGTAATTCAAACCACGTCATCATATTTTACTTGAATGTTCAACGTAGACTCAGATCTGAACCTCAGCTGCCACTCGGAGGAAAAATAAATAAAGCAGAGTTTTATTATCTAATTTAGAGAAACTAAAGTGGGAAATCACTCCTGTTTTCTTCTGGCTTTCAGGAATTTGATTTGCCTGAAGAAGACAGACATCTGGACAAACACAAAAACGAAAAACGAGCATGTCTTCGTGCAGGTTATTTGTAATGACGTGTGTGATTGTTGTGGTGCTGCTCTACAGACTGCTGCTGTTTTCACGTCCGACGTAAGCGTGGCCTTGATAACTGTCTTTGTCCGTCTCACTGTCGTTGTCTGAGCCGTCCTCATCCGCCCGTCCGTCCCTGTCAGCCGCCTCTCTGGCCTTCGTCTGCTGCTCGACCGCTTGTTTCCACACATCTCCCTGGAACAACAAACTCTTACATCAGCCGCTGGACGTTTTTCCACAATATTTCAGTTCGGCACTTTGAACACGATCTGATTCATTTACCTGTTCAGAGGCTTCGGTGATGTTCGCTGACCAGATCCTGAAACACAACAGCAGGTTTTAAACAGCTCCACATGCAGCAGCGTGACGCAGACAGAACGTTTTCAGGCGACTTACGCGGGACTGTCGATGCCGAAGCTCTCTTTGTCGTCGGGTTTGTCCTTCCTCCTGAACCTGAAGCGGGACGGAATATTAAAGTTGAGCAAAAGATTTATTCCATATGACTGGGAGGAGCAGAAAATATTCCACAAAATCTAAACACAATCTGAATTGAGCAACTCAGTGTAACAGCTGCATCCGAAATTGCTTTTCTTTCATAGAAAAAGGGTTCGTAATACAATGCAGCTCCCTGAGTTTAAAGAAACACTAACAAAGGCCTTTTAAAATGTAATACATGGTGAAAATGTAATCTAATCTAATCTAATCTAATCTAATCTAATCTAATCTAATGGATATCAGTTTATGAAGACAGTTGATGCTCTCCAGTCTCACCTGATGACGATGAAGACGAGTGCACAGCTCAATCCCACGACGCTCAGGGCCAGCATGACGGCCAAAGCTATGACCGTCGCATCCGAGCCGGAGCCGGAGCCGGAGCCCGAAGGCGTCCCGACCTCAAAGTGCAGCCCGTCCCCAAACACCTGAGCCAGCTGGGCCGTCACACCGCTCGCCTCGCTCTGCAGCTTCCTGGTGGATCGAACACACACGTCACATCCTGTCACATGACATCACCTCGTTCAGCGCAGATTCAGGTACGATCTCTGTGTTTGTTCCAAGCATCGTCTGTTTTTTCCTTTTTCGTTTGTTTGTTTTGAAGAAATCAGGGTTTTATTTTGCACATCAAACTGAACTTTAAACAGATCGATGAGACTTTTCATGGATGGGTGGATGTACGTATGGATGGATGGATGGGTGGATGGATGGATGGATGGATGGATGGATGGGTGGATGGATGGATGGATGGATGGGTGGATGTACGTATGGATGGATGGATGGATGGATGGATGGATGGATGGATGGATGGATGGGTGGATGGATGGATGGATGGATGGGTGGATGTACGTATGGGTGGATGGATGGATGGATGTACGTATGGATGGATGGATGGATGGATGGATGGATGGATGTACGTATGGATGGATGGATGGATGGATGTTTGTTATGTATAAAACTAACTCAGGAAGTCTGAATTTGTTATCACTGCAGCTTCAAGGTGTAAATCAGGGATCCTCGTGAGCTACTGTCCTGCAGGTTTTAGACGTTTCCGTACTGACTCACATGAATGGATCGTTAACAGACTTGTGTAGAACTTGACAACAGGATGTTGAAGATCCATTAATGTGGATTAATGGGAGTTGGACATCCCTGCTGTAAATACTCAGCCATAATGTTGACTCAGCATTCACTCATCATGTGTCTTCCAGCATATAAAAAACACATGAACACACTAAAAACAGAAAAATGTTCATCCAGGCCTCGGACACGACTTTAAAACTCAAACTCTTACTTTATGACTTCTTCAGAGGAAACAACTCCTCCTTTATCTTCAGCGATGAAGCTGACCAGAGTCCTCACAGAGTTTCTCAGCATTCGGGACTCGGTGGCTCCTCCGCTTGCACTGGAGGTCTGGATGATGCTCACCGTCCAGCCCAGAGCTTTACCTAAAGCACTGGGAGGCAAAACAAATGTGAACAACAGAAATGGATGAAAGAAGTAAGAAAACAATCTTGATCATCAGATAAACTTGTCCTACGTCTCCAACTCTGAAATTTTCTTCTCCACAGTGTTGATAGGCTGATTGAGAGAGATGGTCACCACGTCGCTGCTGCTCGCACTTGCCTGAACCACCACCTGGGGGCAGAAGAGACCAGACTTCAGTCTGTGAGGTTCATGTGAACTATTTAAAACGACTTTTATTTTTTATTGAGCAAGTTGACAATCCTAAGAGCATGAAAGTGAGTAAACAGGGAACAGAAAGAATGCCAAAAATAAAACATAAATGCAATAAATAATGTTAAAAACAATAAAACGTATATTAAAATAAATGAAGGCGTGTGAGTGTAATAGTTTTACAGCATTTCTATATGTTTACATTAAATAATGTTTTGTCAACACACGATCATCAGCGATCAGATTCAAAGATTAATAGTGTTTTGGATGGTGTCTTATTTCTGTTCATCCTCACTTTATGATTTTATTATGAATGAATGGATTTTAATCAGCTAGTGTTACTGAATGGTGGAACTAAGTGCATCAAGCTCTTCACTTCTTCTAGTCTTAGAGGGAAATGCTGTGCTTTTTACTCCATGACATTAATTTGATGCCTTTAGTAGACTGCTGGCTGTAAAACACGTAAAGAGCTTAAAACATCTGATAAAAATGTAAAAGTTGAGGACTCGTTGATTACCGACAGCTATGTTGATGCTTTAGTGTCTCAAAGTGTCAAGACTTTGCATTTCCCTTTAATTGGTTAATTAATTTTATTA